GATTAATATTTCTTATTTTATTACTTTACACACGATTAAACGTCGGCGGGCGGCTCGGCGCGTATCGCGTTACTCTGGCGGCCGACAACCGAGTATGTTACCTGAGACGCTGATAGTACGGCTCGCGTGAACTTCGCCGCGCTTTTGTAATATCTTGCGCGATGTTTATAATAATGATTCCGAACGACACGTTATTCCTGACTCTCTCGACTCCGTCTTGTGTAATCGGTTATATAGTCTGATGCCCGATCAGCATTCTGATCGCTTGCGTCGATCAGTTGCGTGATATTGATTAATCAATATTACGCTCGGTTTGATCATCAAATTTAGGAATTTGCTAATAGGTTTTTAGCAATGTTCTCGCGTGATGCATTTCTGCGGTCTTTCGAAAGACTGGTCGCAATTTCGGCGGTCACACATTTGTGTCGTCTTTCGAAAGACTTTTCGAGATTCATGCGGTCTAATTTTATTGCCATGCGGACTATTTTTATTATTGATTGTAGGTCTGGCTACAACAAATAATATCATTAGATAATGTGTATCTGCTAGTCTTACAATATAATCTTAACAAAATTCTTTTCATAATGCCAAAATAGAAGAGATGAAATGATTCTAAGGGAAATTGACTCAAAAGTGATCAAGTCTTGAAGCCAAAGATTACTCCTTTGTGATATTCTTTATGGGTTTGCTCGAAAAGGGATTCATCTGTCCGCAACGATGCATCTTTACCAAGGGGATACGTCATTCGATTACCGAACCATTCACCTTTAATAGTACATCTTTATAAGAGAATATTAATATTAAACAAATATTTATATTTGTTGAGAATATTAATATTAACAAAAATTAACACTTTTTCATCGTCATCACAAATTTGTTTCAAAATGACTATTAAAAATTGCTCTTTTATAACTACAATTTGTTTTCTTAGATTGATAACTTATGATCATAATTAAACATAATGGAATCTTAAAATTCTGTTTTACAATTCTGAATCTCAATTTTATTATTACAAAATCCACAAATTATTCATTATGTTCATTTTATTATATGTATATTTCAACTTTTTTATTCAGAAAATGCTTTAAACATGCTCAGTTTTATTAAATATACAAATAAAATTCATGTCAGATTAAATCATCATAAAACTTTAAAAATTATTAAAAGACAATTAAAATATATTTATATTTTCCTTATTTTATTAGGTATACAAAAAAGTTCTGAGCTTTTTTTTGTAAAATTCAATCTTTATTCAAAAACAAACTGTTGTAGCCAGATCTACAACCAATAATGTTTGAGCCATGCTCTCGCAAGTGCATCTGCAATAACGTTTCTGGTTTTTAATTTATAGCACTGGTTTTGTACAATGAAACCATTCATTAACTCTTGGGTTTCATTAATAAAATCTTTCAAGAAAGCATCAAGATCTGATGGATTTTTAGTTCCCCCACCATATGCCTATAATGAAAACTTCCTTTCTATTAGCTATGGAGTCAGCAATTAGCCATAAAAATCGCCGTATGCTCTTGTGTATTGAAAAACCATCGAAAAAGACATCAATTTCTATTATGTTAGATAAGATACTTTCTAATTCTTTAGATAGTACAATTTTTAAGACTCGACAGGATACCATAATATCAAAATTCTTCATCAGATTTAAATTCTTTGATAAATAACGTCGTCTTTTTGGAGTATTCAAAAGTGTCTTTGCACATTGAAGAAGAAATTGATGATTATTTTTCTTAAAATTATTAGAAGATCAAATAATAATGCGTTAAGTTTTATATTTTTTTGAAGAGCCCATTGAGCAAATTGTTGAGCTTAACTTGAA